ACTGAGATTATATTCTTTTTAAGGACAATTGGTTTGAGTCTGGATTAAAAGGACATTTATTAGTGCAGACTTGTGATGTGAGGAGGAGCCTGTGTGAGCGGTGAGTGTTGGAAATACATCGACTTTGAAGCTAGTTTAGGTTTTGTTAGCGATTAGCTAACAAAACCCTAACCCTAATGAAACTTTCAGAAATATACGTGTGCATAGGATAAAAAAAAAGTGCATATTTGGCTGTAGTTCAGTCATAAAATGAATAAACCAGGACTAATCTTGGGCTCGAGTGAAGGAGAGAGATAGAAACCGTGTCCCGACACTCAGTCCTGGTTCAGTTCTGGTTTAGTCCTGCTTGCAACAAAACAATCTCAAGAGTCGCTTGGGAGCCGAAAGAGCCAGCTGCTTTAGTGAGCCAAGCCAAAAGAGCCGATTCTCCAAAAAAAATCAAAACTGGAATACCCATCACTAGAAGCTAGAATGTGATGCAAAAATGCCATTAGGCTGATCTACTGTATGTAAATATGATGTAAAGAGTCAGAATAACAATAAATGTTGCCTAAATAAACCCAATTTAGAATCCACTAGAGCCAAACCTAAGTTTTTTAAACAATTCAAGATTTACAGTGAATTTTTACATCACTAAATATATCGGTGATTATATCGGCTATCGGCAGCTCCAACTCCCATTATATCGGTTTCATATCTGCCACAACAAAATCCATATCGGTCGGGCTCTAGTGGTAATACAGGAAGTGCTCCACTGTGTATTTAAACTCCATACACCTTCACTAGAATCATTTGGATAATTTCAGCCCTGTATTTGCCAATCTTTACTAAACAAAATGTAAAAGGTAGCTGTTAACTGGAAAACTACTGCTTCATGATATCACAAAGTAGAAAAGAGCATTTTGAGCTTTGGGGATGTAGACAGACCAATACTGTTCCATTTACACTCAAACATGTGTGAATGAAACATAAAACAACATTATCACATGACTTAAAGATCACTGCCTTGTTGCTAATGGCATAATTCACCAAACATTTCAAAGAGTTACAAAGAATCCTTTGTTTTCTGTTTTATGGTTTTGGTCATATGTAATGGGGAATCCTCCATTGCCTAGAGATAAACTTATAATGAGTAAAAGTCTTTCAGCCACTTATAATGAAAGTCTTCATTCCATTCAGTGTGAATTTTGACATTAGCTTTTTTTCTTTTCTTTCTTTCTTTCTTTCTTTTTTTTTTACTCCCTCAAGCTGTCTGCAGTGAGGCAGCAATGACGGTGTTGTTTAAGTATAAACAAGAGTGGAAACCAAATGACAAGGATCTCTTCACAATTGGAGCATGTCCTGTAGCCCAGGGCTGCAACCTCCAGTGCCCATCTCTCTCTCATATTTTGTGCTCTGCTTGGATAATTTTGCAATCAATGTTACTGTTAGGTGTAGCAAATTGTACCTATAAAATCATTTACTCTGTGTATAACCCAAACATAATGGGCAAGGCAAGTTTATTTGTATAGCACAATTTGTACACAAAGTAACTGAAAGTGCTTTACAGAATATGAAATACATTAAAATCATAATACTAACAAATCAAAACATAAATAATCATCAGAAAATCAACATTAAAAGAGAATAGAGCAGAATAAAAACATTTCAGCCAAACAGAACAGAATAAACATGTATTATTCTCACATCACTCATAAAAATTGTTTGGATTGATTTTAAAATTCCTTTTCTCAACATAACTACTATTCTACTACTACTAATATTCTTGAGGTAGGTACAAAAACTGGCACCAAAATATTGGACTTGATGGGCAAAGGAAAATTATTGCTAATTCTACTTTTGTAAGTTTAGTCTGATTCATCAGTCAGTTTCACTTTGTGGAAACTGTCTGATCTCACAGCAGTAGGTTTTGTTTGCTCGACGGTAGGCAGATACTTTTCTTATTTAACCAATCACTGCTCTTTGGTCATGACGTATGTAATGCGCCGCTAACGGGGCTAACTGGTATATTAAGCTTTTCCCAAATCCCGTAGGAAGAAGGGCAATAGCGTCTTTCCCTTTGATAAAATTCACTGAACATTCTCTTTGTTCCGGCTTTAAATCCTCAATCTCGGGAATCGTTGCCAACACAGAATGTATGGCTCTTTGCTGATTGGCTGGTGCCCAAACTCACACTTCTGGGGTTCTTGCATTGTGATTCCTGACCTAGTCGCTGGAGAGAAATGAAATTGAGCAGAAGCACTAGGTGGCACTAGCCTGGCCACGTAAGTTCCTCATTGTCATTAGAATGTCTTCCACATTTCTACTTGCTTCCACCTTGTGATGTTATGTAGTGGTAGTTTTCAAGTTAACAGCTCCTTTTACCTTTAGATCAGCAGTGGCAATTCCAGGTCTAAAATTACCCAAAATGATTTTAGTGAAGGTGTATGGACACAGTGGAGCACTTTCTGTATTACCACATGACATCACAAGGTTGAAGCGTTTTCTGTTTGAGAGAAAAACCTAAATATGCAGGGTTTGTGTGTTAAACATGTGTGAATTAAACAAAACACATCTCCAGGTGTGTTTTTGATGAGGAAACCTTATAACTTTGATCAGAAAATGGCATAATAGAGGCACTTTAAGATGGCTTTTTGTACAGCCGATTACTCGCTGTTAAAAAATTGGTGGTATATGAAGTCACATTTGAGTTGTTTATTTTCATTTGTTCTCATCCATGTCCTCCATTGGTCAGCATTTACATAGGTGATTCATGGCAGGAGCATGTTGCTCTGGTCCAGTTACACGTGGGGGCACTCAGTAATGGTCCTGCTCTCCCAACCCCGCAGGAATATATTACTGAAAGAGAATATTCGCTGCCACAGTCCAAAACACATTAGAGCACACTTTTTTGTATATTTACCTGGGATCTAGACTGATTCTTGCTATATATTCTACACAGAAGAACTCACATCTCGCTAAGTATTGGAGAAGTGTGTATCCTATGTTATGTGAAATTGATTCTTCTGAAGATTCTTTAAGTCAAGTTATAATGGTGTTACTTCCTGAAAAACATACCTGAAGTTGTGTTTTGTGTCTTTCACACGTGTTCAAGTGAAGCTTCACCTTGTGATGTCATGTAGACTGGTAATTCCAAGACTGAAATTATCCAAATGATTCTAGTGAAGATGGAGTTAAAAAAAACACACAGTGGAGTACTTTCTGTATTACCAGCTGACATCACAATGTGGAGTATTTTTTGTTTGAGAAAAAAAACTCAGTAGGGTTAATGTTTTAACCATTTGTGAAACAAACAACATTATGGCATAGATCAGAAAATAGTGGAATATGGGCCCTTTAAACGTGTATCTAACGACTAGAATATTGAAGAAACACTTCAGTATGTTTTAATGTAACAAACAAACAACTATTTGTGGCTTTAAATTATACTATTTACTACACAACTAAAAATAACTAGTCCATAAGGCAAACTGTGGTATGTCCATTAAGTACACAGACACTGTCACTCAGCTCAGCTCCTCTGTGTCTTCTTAAAGTTATTCTTAGCCGCTTTAATATGTCCGGAAGAGCTGGTCCCAGTGGTAAATGATTACTTCTGTTTGCTTGTTCTGAAGCTGCTAATCCCTCAGTGAACAGGTGAGGAGCTGTCACAGTCCAACCAGGATGACTGTCGTGTTTATATGAGCCCTGTCACTGAAGATATGTATTTGTATCTAGAGCTATAGTTATGACAGTTTGACCTTTGACCCTGCCCAGACTGACCACACACAGGGAATATGCTGGCCCCATGTGTCCACCTGGTGTCAAAGGAGGTAGTTTTCAACAGCTAATAATCACAATGAATGAATGAACCATTTCAGAACAGGAACTAAACAAGACTGAATTTCAATTCATAGACATTTTTGTTTGAAATTCTGGTGCTTTTGTAAAAGGTTATCTTAAGTGTCTGGCTTTTGTAATGTCCTATTATCCCATTATATTACACACATAATATATGCACCAGTATTGAATTTAAAAGTCAGACTTTGTCAGGGTGAAGTTAAAATCTTGTATCAATGTTTGTGCTTTTATAAGTTTTTAAAATGTGGTCTTTGGGCTGAGAGAAAGTGACCGTTGGAAAGCTAAACATATCCCATGCTGTGGCCTGTGTCAGTTCCTCCTCCACCCAAATGGAGAACAAGGTTATCAAGATATGGAAACTTGGACTATGGCGGTGAATTGTGGACGTCTGCAAACTGCAGCATCTCAGAGCGGCGTGGTGATGAAGGAGTGAGCCAACAAACGCAGGAAGAGGGATATCTGCGAGACCCCTAACCCGACGGAGAAACAAATAAACCCAGACCTGAGGAGAGACGGGCCTGTGAGCAGGCTCTGCACTCAGCGTGTTAACAGATTGACTTTGTGTCGTTTCAAGTGAAGAGAATGACTGAAGACAGAAGCTCACGCGTTCATGTGTGCTGCCAATCATCCCCCCAACACTGCCCACAATTTAACACAAAGTCTATCAGTTTTATAACTGTTCCGCTGTTCTTATGTGTAAAAATCTATTTCAGTATATTTCTTGGTTCAAGAAGAAAAGGTCCCATCTTGATCTCAATTTTTTCCAAGTGATTTGCAAGAAATTGCTATTTAGCAAATCCATCTACAAAAAAAATGTGGAGAAATACCAAAATACCAATTCACAAATATTGTAATATAATGAAAAAAGGTAAGCCTAGATAGATTTTGGAACAAATTGGCACCACTTCTTTCTGATACCGTTTTGTATAAATCGTTTTTATTTTTGTTACTGCTTTTCTAAAGGTAATTGAACTGCATATTGTGAAAAGTTGTAGCACTTTAGTTTGATAACAACAGAATTTTTTGTCTTCTTGTCAATTGTTAAACTAAAAACAAAGATTTAATTCTAAACGATATGTTAGGTATAATAAAAAAAGAAACCATGAGTATGTTTTTGTTGTGTATTTATCAGCTTTGTATGCTTTGTGTGTTTTTTCCAGGCATGTCCATCAGAAGAGTCAATACAAGGTCTTCAAGAATAAAAATACCTGAATGATATGTGAAGGTTAGTTTTTGAAAACAATTGTTTTCCATATTTTCTGTTTGTGGAACAAGGAGTTTGCAGCACACCTAACTTTTACAGTCATAATGGCTTGTTATGCAACCCCACCTTATCTAATATGCTTTATTAGATGTATTATTTGTATTATGTGCTGTAGTCATTGTGTAAATGATCTGCTTCATTAAAGGAAACTCTATGGAGTGTAAACACTAAATCACTTGTCCCACAGGGTGAAAGTGTGTGAGAACCTCCTCTGGACGTCTGGCAGTGTACGGCCGAACCGGTTGCCAGCGGCCTATCCGCAGATAACATTGTGAAGGCCAGTGGCCGACTGAGGGAGGGGGACGCCTCAAATCATCCTGTAGCAGGCCGTGTGTTCCTCTCATACAAACAAGTGGGTGTTCCCTTCTGAATCATTAAAGTCACCTTTTTACATAGTTCACCCTGCATGCACACCACTGGTACTACATTCTTCCACAAATCAAAGTCTTGACTAGAAAATACCAGTAAATATGGACATATACTATAATTAAAATCATATGTAATCATTAGAGATTGACCGATATGAGTTTTTTCATGGTTGATGCCCCTTCCAATATTGTGGAATCTAAAGCACTCAGTGGTCGATAAACTGCGCCAATAATTTTGGGCCAATATGTGGAGCTGATTTTGATTATTTTTCACAAATTCTATTATTTAAATGTATTACAAACTCACCTACAACCCATTTTTACCACAGACCTTTAAGAAAGAGCTGTAGTCATGTTTTGTGCCATTATTTCTTGGCAAAATAAAGCTTTATGCGTAGTTTTTTGACAGCAAGTCAGGCAAAACTAAATATTCACCTGTGCTGGAGATTTAAGGCCGATAGCTGATTTGCTAAATGTGCAAATGTAGATCAGTCAACCGATATATCGGTCTATCTCTCTTGTAATCATCAGAATCAACTTATTTGTTGTTTTAGTATAAAAATTTGAAATGAAACACTGTGCTCAGATCCAGGTTATCAGCAGCAAAACAATCCAGTAAATAGTTTAAAATATTGTATGTCAAGTGCAGTCTTTAAAACAACCCTCACTCGTCCCCATTTCTGTATCATGGGAGTTATCTTGCTCATCAGATAGATGCTTTTACCTGGTCTGAAAGGTCACCGTATTACCGTCCAAATTTAAAGGTGCACTGTGTAACTCTTCGTCACCTGCTTATCTTCATAATAATAAGAATTTTATTGCTATGTCTGAATGTTCCAAAGCATTAAACTTTTCTGTCTCCATGGAGATAAACCACCAGGCCAAGTTATGGGTCAGACCAGTGAGGCACACCCTTTTTCAGTGTATTCAGCAATAAAAACACATCACTGAATAAATATTTGATAGATAAATTTTGTGCAATATTGTGGAACATTTCTGGCAACCCTAGTTCTTAGACTTAGACATAGACAACCATTATTGATCCACAAGGGAAATTATTTGGGCGTAGTAGCTCACACATTACAAAATATTATAATGACAAAGAGAAAAAATATAAATGGTAATTATAAATTCTAAATGAGACTGGTGTCAAATAAGGCATAATTATGTAAATGTATATGTACAAGTAAAATAAAATAGAAATAGGTAATAAAAATATCTCAGCAATATACACGAGGTTGAAAAATATTAGATTTTAATGCAATAGTGTGGAACATTCCTGGCAACCTTAACCCAGGCACAGTTATAACATGCAGTAGTGTAACCTTAACCAGAAAAATTTCGCAGTGCACCTTTAAACAAAAAACAAAACAAAAAAAAGGGTAAAGAGATTGTGGGAAACTGTGTCCGGCAAACAACCCAACACCAAGAAGGCAGACATTTCCTTTAACTTCCTGCCTGAGGTGAATTATTATCTAAACCTTTACCCCATAACCACAGAGGGCTCAGATCCAGTCACACACAGGGACTGACACACTACGCACTCATCTAACCTCCGCCCAAATATCTCCATTGTGTCCCAAGTCCAGTATGTGCTCTGTCCCTGGTGCCTGCTGCCACATACATAGGAAATGGCCCTTCCACTACTTTCTTCCTCTGCTTGTGAGAACAATTTATTCACAGTCTCTCAGCCCTCGTCTCTCTTGTCAAAAGTCAAGTGTCCATCTTGCAAAATCTAAATTGTAACAGAGATTAATGATCCTAGACCTACAATGTCTGATGGCTGGTCTGATCAAGAAACAAAACACTACATCCAGCAGCTATACCTTTGAGAATTGAGTTAAACAAAACAATGTTAGAAATTAAAAAACTGTATTGAAAGCAGAACAGGATAGGAAACCTGACGCAAAAGCAGGTTGTGAGTCAAAACAGTCCACTCTTCTCAGGGTTTGAACAGAAGTCTCCTCTGTAATCTGTGTAACCATCGATCATTATTTAACTCTGTAACAAACTGTCTCACAATAGGCAGTGAAAAATATTTACTTTTTTTTTTTACCACATTCAGAACTCAAGGAGAACTTTAATTGACCCTTCATTTATTTTCATTTTATTACTTTTTTATTTAGTACACAATACACTCTGAAAATGTTCACAATCAACAAATATGTAGACTTCTTAGGGATTGGCATGATTAGTTGATTAGTCGATAATTAATCATTAAGAATTTTGTCGATTACGTTCATTTTTAATCTACAAACCGAATGTAGGTTGCTGTGCGTAGCGTAGGGTGACCAAACGATAACAGATCGTTAATTCTCCTGATGATTAAGAAAATTTCATCAAATGCTCATCCCTAATACTTCTACTACTAAACTTTTTTATCTGAAGTAAGATGTTCAGTTTGCCAGACTTAATTTAAAGGTGCATTGTGTCACTTTTCTGGTGGAAAGTCTTAAATGCTTTTCTTCACTGAACGTTTCTACCTTCATGGAGACCATATCAGACCAAGTTACATGACAGATCTGTGGAGCGGCAACCCCGCTCACAGACAAAATGCCTCTTTTTGTGGGCATTTTTGAGCTAAAGAAAAACACTGTAATTGATTAAATGTAAAGTAGAGCTGTTTAATGTCATACTGCAAAACATTCCAGGCAGAGTAATGACATATCCACAGAAACAAGCAAGTGACAAACCCCCAACCAAAAAGTTACATTAAAAAAACATATACATTTTTATATTGATGAAACACATTTTTGTTGCAGCTTTTTTATTACATGATAGAGCAGAGATCATGCATTTTTAACATTAGTTTTCTACCATCATTGGAACAGAATGGTTTCGAAACAGATGACTCATGAGGAATACACCTCTAAAGACAAAACCAAAGCTTTTAACATTGAAATGCTCCAGGTCACCGCAGTAACAAAGAAAACTGTTGGCACTTACAAATATGAGTTCAAATATGTATGCTTTATGTTTGCCCCTAAACAAACTCATGCTTAGAAACAAGTGTGTGTGTGTCTTAAACATAAGCCTTGTACCATTGAGGCCTCTGTGTCATGGGACGCAGGGCTGCCCCAGGTCATGTCGTATCTGTGAAGGCCATCGCTGATAACATCACACTAAACTACAGCTGAAAGACTCTTTTCTCTTTACTTTGTATGACACACCATTCATGTGATTTAAATATGGACTGAGAACAGAACCAGGCAAAGCGCATGTTATTACAGGGATTCATTAATGTTGTGGCTTTTGTGAGCTTTAAGTTATGTTATAATCATAAACATACCCGGAGTTAAATTTTGTTTCATTCACACATGTTTGAGTAAACCTGTGTTATGAGTCTGTCTACATCCCCAATGCTCAAAATGCTCTATTCCACCATGTGATGTCTCAAAGTAGTAGTTCTCAAGTTAACAGCTACCTTTTACCTTTAGTTCAGTAGAGATTGGCTGAAATTATCCGAATGATTCTAGTGAAGGTGTATGGAATTTAAAAACAAAATGGAGCACTTCCTGTATTACCACCGGACTTTACGGTGTTTTTTCAGAAATATTTCCAGTTTGAGAGAAGAACTCAACCTTGATATGCAGGATTTGTGTGTTAAAACATGTATGAATGAAATAAAACACAACTCCACTGATATTTTTGATGACATTATTACATAGATCAGAAAATAGCATAATATGGGCCCTTTAAAGAAAATATAACTTCTTGTTGTATTGTCTTCTCTGTAAAATGTCCAGAAAGGAGCTTATTTTTCCCATATAGCAAAATAACATAACATAATAAGAAAAAGTGAATAGGTTTTAATAGGTTTAACAGGTTTCTTCCTGTTTATAAAAGCTTTACAGTGAGGAGTGTGTTAAGTGTTGTAATATGCAGATAACAGTTTGATAGGTTTGTAGTTTGTTAACTATCTGATTGGTGCTCTACGCTGCTTTCCAATCTAACCTCACGCCTCACCGCATATTCTCAAAAGAGTCGTCCGCACCCTAAATCATGACATCATGTCTTTGTGTGAAATCCTACTGCTATTCACGGCTCCAGCGTAGGGCTTAGCATGCATGCGTTCACTATACCAACACGTAGCTCTTTAAAGGCAGCCCTGGTCCCCAAACTCAGTGGATACAGTTAGAGATGTCAATATGGCCGCCATGTTCAGAACACTAGAGCAGATCTGTTCAGCCTTCCTGTTTCTTCTTTATTCATGTTGGATACTATCTGTAAGTCTGACGTGGCTTTGTAAGAGGTGCAGCTGACAAATTTGAGATAAGCAATATATAAGCATTGGTAAAAAAATATATATATGTTGAAAAATATTAACCAAAAACCCAAAAATCATCACCAATTTAATTTACCTGGCAACCTGAGTGTCAAATTTTAGAGTTATGGTCCAAAATCAGCAATTTTTAATAGTGAAATTCTGGATTCTGAATTCTGGTAAAGGTTAACATATATAGTACATCATCATCTACGGCACACTATTCAAAAGAAATCACTTATCACCTTTTGAAGAAATAAAGAGCAGTGGCATTTGTAATTGTGATGACTAGGCCTGGCACGATAACAAATTTTGAAGCACCATATATTGCTACAGAGGAATAAAACAATAATTAATATTATTGAAACTACTTTATGCCACTGATACAATAACAATAATGCAAGAAAATCCCAGTGACCCATTTTTACATATACTGCATAATAAAAAGGCTTGAGCTACAACAAATTAATGGTAGAATAAACCAATAATTAGTCCTGGAAGTTACTTTTTCAACTTTCAACAGCTCAAATCTTACCATATCACATAAAAAAATTGCAGAATCCTCCCCATGATTGCAACAAAAATATGCACACAATAAACACTGAGCCCCAAAATATATTGTTCCAGCTTTCATATATTAAAGTCAATATAGTATTTATCGTGTTGGGTCTGAAGACAGTGTTGATGTAGTTAGCACACTGGATTCATAACATACAACTCAACTCTTAAGATGACAAGTAAAAAGTGTCACTCCTTTGACTCTTTTAAAAACAGTGGAATCTTCCAAACAAAGATCCTGATCTAGTGTTATTCTTGCATGATCCTGGAAAGTTTGACTAACCTCCAGCAATTTGCTTCATTCAAGTGTGCTGTTCATTCGAAGCATTCTTTACATTCCGTCTATGGGACACTGAATAAAGAACATAAAAACATACGTACACATCACAAAGATGTACAGAGCATGTAGTGAAAACAGTGCTTTATGTGCGTCTATTTGTAACAGTTATGTAGCTGTAAAGATTTCACATTTTACAGCAGTAACTTGGTATAATATGAGCAGTGATGGGAAGAATACTTTGAACATATATTTAGTTACATTAACAGTTGTGTAGCTGTAAAGATTTCACATTGCACAGCAGTATCTTGGTATAATATGGTATTCGTGTAATATCCAAGTAGCATCCACAGCAAAGAAGAAATTAAATTTTGTCAACTGGACAAAATTTTTTTGATTGAATTTGTCTGGTTGACAGAATTCAATTTCTCCTTTGCTGTGGTATAATATGAGCAGAGATGGGAAAAAGAGACATTAAAATCACACATGATCATTTTAATGTGATTTTTTTGCAATTAAATATCAATTGAATTAATATATATTTGCACTGATTAAATGAAAATTTCAATGGACCCAGGAAGATTAGCTAATGGCGCACTGCCTTCAACTCCATATATATAAACAAATAAACACACTCACACACTGTAAGAGTGGTGTTCCCTGTTTTTCTCACTAATTATGTGCAGTTTGAAGCCTATATTTTGTGATCAAGTTCTGCATTCCTTTGATTTTTAGGAAAGTAAAAAGCATTAGTATTCTGAATATCACCAAATAAAAGAATAACTATACCAGAATACAGTTACTCAAAATTAGTATTCAGAATGACATTCTCACTACATGTATTCAGTTACTTCCCAACACTGAATATGAGTGCACACTGGACACTACTGTCTGTCTCCCAAAGCCTCACTGCCCTAACATGTACCAGAGCATCCAGCTGGAGGAGGCCTGCTGTTTGCTGTTGTGTCTTCCACTGTACCTGTTTTTACATACACCACATATTAGCAGTTGCATGGAGCTGCCCAGTGGTGCAGTGGACCCGGTGCCCTGGCCATGCAGTGTCCATGTTGGTATGGCAGCCTGAGGCCTGCTCCCATACATCCCTGCACCAGCGCGGTTGATCCTATTGTCCACTGCGTCACCACACGTCGCCCGCAAATAAAGGCCGTCTGGCTCCAAGCTTAAATATTGCAGCTAACTAAAAACCAACCATCAGAGCGGATTCATTCACATCTGCTCAGTGGGGCGACAAGGACTGGGCTTTAGGTGGGAAAGAGGCCAGAGAAAAGTTCACTGCTCATTATTGGGTGCCAAGAGGACGGGACAGAACTCAACTTTGCCGGAGCCGCAGCTTGGCAAGTTCATCATTTATTTTAATTTAAATATTCTGCATTATGTTTATAGAGATGTGATTATAAATATCTTTTTATTAATTTTAATGTAACATATCTACGAATACGCCTAAAGCTTACAGACAAAAAACATTCCGCTTTTCCATACTGTATTCATTGCTTTAGATTTCTGTTAATCAAACTTAATCTCTGCTATAAATGACAGTGCCCAAGCTGTTTGTTTTTAATGACTAACAGTTAATTTTAGTCTGTATTCGACTCAAACTAGTTAGTGCTTGAAATGTACAAACGCATGCCACAAAACAGAAATCAGTGAAGTGTCAGAATAGTTTTAATTCCACATTCAGCATTTCTTGCTTTTGACGCTCTCTTTTCTCCTCCCCCTGTCCGTCCTACCTGACCACCCCACCCCATGATTCGGGTGCACCCTGTCTCCCACTCCACCCCACTCTCCACTCTTCAGTGCTACGGACCGATCATGGGTGACTGGAGCTTTCTGGGCAATATTTTAGAGGAAGTCAACGAGCACTCTACGGTGATCGGCCGGGTGTGGCTCACAGTTCTGTTCATTTTTCGTATCCTGATCCTGGGCACGGCTGCTGAGTTTGTTTGGGGCGATGAGCAGTCAGACTACGTGTGCAACACTCAACAACCTGGGTGTGAAAATGTGTGCTATGATGAGGCCTTCCCGATCTCGCACATTCGCCTTTGGGTGCTGCAGATCATCTTTGTGTCCACGCCGTCGCTGGTGTACGTGGGCCATGCTGTGCACCACGTCCACATGGAAGAAAAACGCAAGGAGCGCGAGGAGGCCGAACTGAGCCGCCAACAAGAGCTGAGCGAGGAACGCCTGCCACTGGCCCCAGACCAGGGCAGCGTCCGAACTACGAAGGAGACCAGCACCAAGGGAAGCAAGAAGTTCAGGCTGGAAGGCACTTTGCTCAGAACATATATTTGCCATATAATCTTCAAGACACTGTTTGAGGTGGGCTTTGTGGTTGGCCAGTACTTCCTGTATGGGTTTCGCATCTTGCCACTGTACAAATGTAGCCGCTGGCCTTGCCCCAACACTGTGGACTGCTTTGTATCCCGTCCTACAGAGAAGACAGTCTTCATCATCTTCATGCTGGCTGTGGCTTGTGTTTCTCTCTTCCTCAATTTTGTAGAGATCAGCCACTTGGGCTTGAAGAAGATCCGCTTTGTGTTTCGTAAGCCAGCCCCAGCTCCAGCACAGGGCGAGGGGTCAGCTCTGCCCTCACCACAAGGTAAAGGCCTGGCCCCACTGGCAGTGCCGTCATTACAAAGAGCTAAGGGCTACAGGCTGCTGGAGGAAGAGAAGGCCCCTCCAGTAACACATCTCTACCCTCTGGCCGAGGTGGGCATGGAGGCTGGCAGAGGCATCTCCTCTTTCCCGAGTCTGGAGGACAAGGCAGAAGAGGGGTTACCGATGGAGAGCATCTCAAAGGTTTATGATGAGACTCTACCGTCTTATGCCCAGACCACAGAGACGGCTGGGGTGACTCTACATGAGGAGGAGGAGGAGGTGCAGTCAGCAGAGGCACAGGCACAGAAAGGGAGAATGGAGGAATTAGCTGATGAGGATGTTGAAGTGCAAGCAGCAGCAAATGACATGGAGGCATCAGATACGATAGAGGACACTAGACCGCTTAGCAGAATGAGTAAAGCCAGTAGCAGGGCCCGATCAGATGACCTCACTGTATGAATATGTAAGAGAACAGAAGCTAGCTCCACACTGACAAATGTTGAACACACACATCTAAAACTCTGCTCATGACGAAAACAGGTGTTAAACTGAGAGCTGCGAAAACATACTTGCAAAAGATATACTGAAAAACCTTTAGGAACAAAAAATATGTGATCTAGACTAAACGTAGACTTAAGAGTAGTTTTTTATATATTTAAAATACATTTTAGTACCTATAAAAATATGCATGGAAGGAGGGGAACTGTTTTTACTTGATGAAATCTATGGTCATTTTTAGAACCATCTTTTTCTATTGAAGTTTTAATCGATCAAAAAGTGCATAGGAGTTTGTACATGAGGTTGGAGAAGATGGGGAGAGAAAGTAGTTTGTACTTTTGTGCGTCTGCAGTCCAGTTCATTTCACTGTAGTCGGGCACTTTCCTCCCATTAAACAGAACCATGGAGTTGTTTGGGGACTGGATCAAAGGATTCTCAGAGATCAACAAAACTCATACATTTTTACAAACTTCGCTCTTTATGACAAAGGAAAACTGCTTTTTTAGGTAGATAAGAGCAAGTCTTTTGCACATGAAATTGATTAGACTACGTGAGGCCTTTAACACTCATCCAAGAATACAGTTTGTATACCTGGTGGCACTCAAAGTTAAGAAGTGATAAAAGAAATAAATGACCACATGTTGAATGTCTTTTAAATGTGATTGTGCGTCTCAATAGTGGAGATGGCCTGTTGTTAAGCTTTAAACTTGACCTGTACACTGTGATATCAGTTGTGTGTTAAAGAGAGCTGGGGCTCATTTTGCCCTATCAGAGAATAGACTATAGTAGCGACCTCAGGCCAAATCCTCTCTTTTCGCGCTGTACAAACAGGCGTCCGGGCGATAAAGATCATGCAGCATCAGCACAAAGTATTGTTCAAACTGAGACAATAAAAGAAACCGCACTCATCAATGAAAACAAGCATCCTTGATCCGGCTGTAAAAAAACACTTTAGACTTAAAACTTTTAGTTCACCACAGTGACCTTTGCTCTGGCATGTCACAGTGACAAAGACTTGTGACTAACAGTGACTGTTTACAGATAAAAACATGGGCGACTGCCACTGTACATAAAGCCCCCTCTCGTGTCTAATAGTGTACATATTGTCATGTGAACTTTTGGTAGATATTTAAATTGTAGTGTCAAAAAAGATTTTCAGAATTAATGAGCACCCCAACAAACAAGCAGCAGCAACCAAAGCACACTAACACAATGATAAAGATTTAAGAAAAGAAAAAATGACTTTGTGATGGAGACATTTTTACTTAAAAAGAATTGCATTTACATTGGTGTGTTTTGTTTATCCATCTGCAGTCATTGTATGATATTCTTCTGTTCCCTATAAATGTAAATTTTGAAAATATTGTAAAACCGTTTCGACAGATTGTATTGCTCTGGGACCTAAGTAAACCTTTGCCTATAACTAAAATCTAGAAGCTCACCTATGAAGTAATCCTACAATGGGTTTTATACAGTGGACAAAGTCAGTGCAGGCTTACAGTACATCGCAATGTGCCTCTGTGTGCACAATCACAGTGTTGGTTTTGGGGGCATGATCAAAAGGCTCTCAATAATTTCACAGAGATGGCAGCTTTGGTCCCCTTTGTGACCCCCAGCCACCAGTGCCTCCATATGCCAATACTGTGGAGTATTAAAGAGCATATCCATGGAGAACATAACTGTTGGCCTAATAGTGTCACAGCTAAAACAAAGTGTCCCAAGAGAAGGAGTAAGCGTATGCTCTTCGTATTTGTAGATTTGTTGCAGCGACTCTCTGTTTGAAGAACATGCCCTTAATTCTTGCAAAGAGAGAAACAAAATGTTTTTACTACTAACTTGTATTCTATGCTGATATTCTATGTGTGGCAATATATGTTTTGGAATATGAACCAATACAATAAAAAGTCACACAAGGACAATTTCTTTTTCTTATTTCTGCAAAGTATGTACAAACGTTACACAAGTTAATTTGTGAATAGTTGCTGGTTTGCAGATGACATCAGAACATTGTTTCCATAGTTTCAAGTTGAGTGTGGTCACTGTGGCCTTGTTCCAAACAATTCAAAACTAAATATTTTATCTTGTGAATGTTTAGAGTCTAGTCACTAATGATGAGGTTCAACATTTGGAAATAAGAAAACTGGCTCTTGCCCCCAATCTGGGAGTATGTCTTCACTTTGTAGACCCTGAAAAACACCAGAACTATTTTTCTGGAGTTGTACTCATAATCACCACTAGAGGGAAGCATTCAACTATTGAATAGAACAATACATATTTTTCTTCAACTGCATAAAGTTAAACCTGACTTGAGCCATTTTGATAGTGAAAGACCAGGAGCCTTTTAGTGAGCACATTCATTGTAGGGTTCTTATTGGGTTTATAATTGTAACACAGTGATGTTCTTTATCGCATAGTCATTTAACAGAGTAATTTAGTTCAGTTTAAATAAATAAAGCAATATAGTAGCCTATGTATTATTCAGTGATTCCTCATAATCACTGGCCAATAGTTTATAGTTAACAAAGATAATACAGTATAAGATGCATACTAGCATATATAACCCACCTACAAAACAAATGTATAATGTTATTCAGATTTTCATTTTACTTGTTGAATCACATGCAAAACAAATGAAAAGTGTATATATACATATAGTTAGTACTCCCCCCTTTGCAGTGGTATATAACCGCTTAGTGCATAGTTATGGTTTGTAGATCAGTTCAGACCACTTTTTTCCACTTCCTGGAAACAGTTTCTTCTGTGGGTGACAATGGTATGATACTATACCTGCCACATTACTAAACAGATAGAAACAGGCTACTTTTAGTGCACTCTCTGAAGCTCTTTGACAGACTGGTATCACTTTATAATTATTTATAATATAGTTGCACACTGAGGGAAGCGCTGACATAGTTCTTTGTGGAGGTAAGTGTGGTTTCTCGCTTTGCTAAATCTTCATAAACCATGTGAAAGTGGTTTTCTCCTTAGATCAGCTCCCACGTTATTTTGTAGAAGAAAGGTAGCGAATATTTTAACTAATACCCTGATTGTTTAAGCCTTTAACCTGTTTTTTTCCAATGCAATAGCAAGATAAACATTATATAGACTTTAACTCAGGACCAAAACAAAAGAGTGCTTGAGTTTTGTTAAATGCTGAAGCCACTGTTTGTAATAAAAACACATATTTAATCTGATCCTACATATTTAAACACAAACAAACCGTGCTAAAGTCTGTTATCCTTATTGAGCTTTGATATAATCTGTTTCAGCTTATGAGATGTTTAAAGTGGAGAGCATGGACAGGCATTTTAATTTCATATAATCACAGCATTTAACATTTTGCATAACTACCACCTACTAATAAAAAACACTGACGTTCTAGGTGTAATGGAAAATTCTTACAAGGTTTTTTGCTTGATAACCATCTTGTCATATTCCTGTTTCTGTATTGCAGCAAAGACAGGTATAACGTGACACAACTTCAGTATAAATACTATATTTTGCAATCGTCATACTTTTCATCACACTTTTGCTTTCCTTAATAGAGATGAACACAAAATCTGTCGTTATTGGAGGAGAGGTCAGCCTGCCTTGTAAAAATGAGTCTCTTGATAAACTCACCCAGATGACATGGTTCAAGAATAACACCAAACTTTTAATATTTGCTCCATCAAACCCCCCCCAGTGGTACCCTGAAGCATACCACTACCAAATAAATGTGACGTTATCTGAAGACCAACTGTACGCACTCACCATTAAGAAAGCAGTATGGGACCATGCTGGGAACTACATGTGTGAGACCACAACAGGATCAGGAGTCTGGACAATGAATTGGAAACTTAAAATCACTGGTGCGTGAACTATAATGTTTTTATTATCTATTATATGTAATCTATGGTATATGATTATTATATATGATGTGTTCAACAAGTACACAGACAAAATCACAAGCTGACGCAAGTTAAAAAGCAACAATATTTACAAAGAAATGCAAAGAAATACTATATTCATCATGTAAAAGGGCAAATTACATACACTCCATCTTACTTAGTTCTTGCGTTATTCTTGCATAATATCAATAAAATAACTGATACAATAGGTCAGGTTATGTTAGCTGATTTGCCATTTGTAGTTAAAAACACATGAGAAGAACATGTGCAAACTATGCACCGTGAGACATTAAACACAACTACAATTAATCACTTAATTGACCAAATGACTGTGCCATGATATCATGATAATTGCTATATTGAGTTATCATTCAATATATGAAAGCTGGAACAAAATATTTTGGGGCTTAAAATTCATCAATGGCACATTTTATTTGCAAAAGTGGGCAGCCTTTTGTTTTCTGACCAGTAAAGGGTTGAATAAGTAACTTTTTCTGGCTAATTATTGCTTCATTCTGTTATTTATTACATTAGCTCATGGCTTTTAATTATACGGTCCATGAAAGGGTTTGCTGGCATTATTCTGCTTTTAAATTATTGTATCTGAGGCAAAAAATAGTTTCAGCATCATTTTTTATTGTTATATTTCTCTGTAGTAATATATCATGCTTCAAAAATGTGTTATGAGAAGCCAACAAGCTGCAGGCTGCAAGTGAATTGTTTAATTTTAGTTGCTGAAAAATCTCATGGAATGCCTTTTAGTTTTTTATAAATGTTTATTAAAAAAATCACACTCCATTTTTTTCACTAGATGAACAAGAAGCTGGACAAAAATCTTCAATACTTGTATACATAATTATTGTCATTTGTGTTGGGATTATTGCTGTTGTTCCTTTAATTATTTTCCTCTACAAACGACAAAGACAGTAAGTTTTCTACTTATCGTCATAAAGTCAATATAATTAGAAGTTTGGCACCACTTTTACTGAGGATAAAATTACACTCATCTTTCCTGTTTTCTTCTTTGTAGCAGCAACAGACAGCATTGTGCACAAGAAACGGTAAACACTGTCTATCATGTTGAGAAGGTAACAAGACTAGATAAAAATTACATGCTGAAGCTAATTTCTTAAAATACTTTGTGTGTCTTATCATTTCAGCAACACGACATCTATGAAAACTGCCTGGAAAGTCAAGTCAGGAACAGCCATCACATTTACTCTAACTAATAATACAACAAAAACTGGTTAAACTTCCTCACATACTGCTTGTGCTGTAACAATGGTAATATTGTCTCTGCTGGCATCTTATCTCATGTACTGGACTGTGACTTGTTATTATGTAGGTTAAGAAACAGGAAATAGCTCTTCAGATACTGCTACACGGTTCATGCATGGAAAATACACACAAATGAATAGGAATGTGAATAAGAATGTGTAAAATGAAATGTAAATGAAACAATTAGTGCTTCATTTGATGCACAATTTCTTTATTGGAAAATATAAAAAAATGTGTCATTTGTTGTGTTGTGCTGTTTATTCTATTTTTTCATAACAAGGCTATATTAGTATACATACTGTACTAGTGTAAAGTATTATTAAAATTAAGAGCTGCGCTAAACCTGCACACGTACTATCTGCACTCGTACGACCTGCACTCGTGTGATCGCTGAAAAGCTAAAACATGAACTATCTCCTATACTCTATATGCACGGAACACACTTACCATCATTAGCGCCTCTTCTATCACAGAAATAACACACATAATCCACAGAGTCGTGTCATTTAGTCCAAAAAAAACGGAACGCATCAGCGGCGCAAGGAGCGAGTTGTTCTTATCGCCGCTAACAGTTTATGCTAATTAGCCAAACGGTCTTAAGTTTCGTTTCTGTAAAACGTAAACAAATATGATCACAGCTGAATTATCTGATCAAACGGGCTGATGTAGCTCTATAGTGTTTATGGTTTATATGTTGTAAAGTTGAGTTTATTTATGCAGATTTTAATGAAGAATCTGCACAGTGGATTGTGGGATATCTCGTAGCTCCTTAGCTTCTTATGCTAAAGGAGCTCACGGTTTGTATTTTTCCTGGTTTATGAAATTGATTTAAGTTAATTTTTGCGCCTGCGCATTTGTAAGATTATGTCAAGAAACCGGGATACTCCATTTCATCATGTATACGCGGATATGAGTATCCCGGTTTCTCAGTGCGCATGTAAACCATGGATCTATTAAAATAACTGGATACAGTATTGCTAGCTTGTAGCTGCCTCGAGTTGACGTAGTGGCCACTCAGTGGTACTACAGTCGAAAAAATCCCATGGGCCGAGAGAAGATTTTTCTCATAGAGCGCAATGTAATCACAACCTGCTCGTGTTCGGCTGACAGGGCACCTACAACTTTCAAAAATGTCGGATTTTGTGGCGATTTTTACCTATTTTTAGATCATAAACTTTTTCTCGCTCAAAATCCTTCAGTTGTCTTAAAAAAACGCTTTATATTCGTTAGCTCCGGCTCCGCTCTCGTTCCTCTCGCTCTGATTGGTCAAAGCGATCACGTGATACACGAGCCCGCGCTCCGTGCGTGTGGTCGCGTGCATTCGCGTGTGCCCGTGGGAGAAAAGAACAATACTGCGCATGCTCGGTCGGCCCACAGCCACCGGAAGTACCTAGCCGGGCTAGGCTAATCTGGGATCATGCGCCATTGAGCTCAGCCCATTGACTTGAATGGGCGGCCATTTTGGAACCTGGGGGCTTGATGTAAACGCAGTAACCCGAATACTGACATAACCAGGATATGGCTAATAACTGGGTTATTGATGTGCATGTATACGCACTCAGTGGTTTTCATCATTATGGTGACCAGTAAAACTTTCGGCACATTTGACAATAAGGCACCATGAACGCAGCAGATGATCTACCATTGCTCCAGACAACTTGTGCTAGTAGCAAAATAGGATTAAAAAAATTCTGCCATTGGCTACACAAATGTTGGATAAAAAGAGAGAATTGAGTTGGTTATTAGTCCCAAATAAAACCAACTTAATGCTTAAATTAAAACATACAAATACAACCGAGACCTACAGTTATTCTTAAGATGGTGATGATGAGGGGGGGACTTCCACATTTAAAGGTTGTACTTCTGGCCCTTGTGGTTCTAAAGCTGTCCCTGTTTCTCTGGTTTCATCTTCGCTTGTGTCCAAACAGGGAATGCTGAACTTTTTATCTGACCTAAAAATATCAAAACAAACATAATCAGTTAATGTACAAAAGTAACACTGTTGAAAATAATTCCCTATGAATAATTTCTATACCTATAAATACACCATGCAGCAACAGCAATATTAATGAAAAGTAAAAGACCAAATAAGATCCAGCCAGCAGTAGAGCTTCCTGGGAGGAGAAAAAGTTTGTCAGTTAGTGCTGTTTTACAAGTAATGTTACATATTACTCAAAAAGAAATAGCTTTGTGTTCAAGCAGGACTATCAAGATGTACACTAGACTGAACCCGTTTTAAAAGGTCAAAAAGGTCTGGCTTTTCACATGAAAAGTGTTGCAGCTATCATGTGTCAACACTAGATATGAACAAGAGTGCAATCACTCATGTATTGGGGTGTGTCCTTCAATTGAAACTGATTGTAAGTGCCCTGTTCCTTTATTTTAGAACATGCCCTGACTTGTTCTAAAGGTTAATATACCGTTTCAGCATATGACTCAGTTGTTTCATTGTACTATAAGGTTATTTAAAAGTCAGAGAAAATGGTCCTAGTTAATATTTTTCTATAGCAATATGTTGAACTTTTCTATGTAACATTTCTGCTTGTGGCGTCCTCTCCCTGCTCGTCTCCTTGGAGATGTTATTGCTTTGCCTGTAATGTCCCACTGTATAGCAGCAAGGTGCACTGTGTAACTTTTCTGGTGAAGGGTCCATCACCTGCTTATTTCTATGGATAAGTCATTGCTCTGCCTGGACTGTTCCACAGTATGACATTAAACAGCTCTAACTTACATTCAATTACAGGTGGATTTACAGCTCAAAATACCTAGAAAAACAGGCATTCTGAGAGTGAGAGGGGTCGCCTCTCCACAGATCGGGCCTGTCACTTGATCTGATTTTGTTTCCATGAAGATATAAAGCAGGGGTGTCCAAACTTTTTTCATCAAGGGCCACATATTTAAACACAGATGAAGCAGAGGGCCAATCGAGGGCCGTAGACTGATGCTCATTACAGTGAATAATTGAAATATGTGCAGGTTTAACATGTTAGAATGAGCCAACAGTCTATTCGTGCTAAGATCCTTAAAACCACACACTAAATATTAAATATGAGCTTTATCAAGGTAGATTTTCAAAAAACTTGTAGTAAAAGGTTAATTTTTAATTGATGCAAGGTAATTTGGGCCAATTCACCTGGAAGCCTGAGGGCCAAGAAAAAATTGTCTGAGGGCCGCATTTGGCCCATGGGCCATAGTTTGGACATGCCTGATATAAAGGTTTAGTACCATACTGTTAAACATTTCAGGCAGAGCAATAACATCTCCATGGAGAAAAGCATTTGATGGACCCTCACACAATGCACCTTTAAACTTAAGTCTGTCTTGCATTTTCCAATTATTGCTACAGAATACTTTGAAAATCCTGTATTCTTTGTCACTATGTTGTCACCGCCTCTCCACAGATCTGACTAGTAACTTTGCTTGTTTTAGTATAGTTTAATGAGATAGTTTTAATGCCATACTGTGGAACATTCCATGTAAAGCTCACTAGAAACAGGCAAGCAGGTGGGGGGCCCTCCAACGGAAAAGTTACACTGCCAAAAAAAATAAAAAAATTAAAAACCTTGTAAAGTTAAAATTACTTGAAATTAAAAAAAAAAAATTATCTTGATTTGAGTAAATTTCACATGACAAATAAAATTAATTAAGAAAAATATATCTTGCTACACAAAACATAAGAAAAATAACTTATTTTGCTTTCATTCCATTGGTAGATAATTTTACTTGTCAAGTCAAATCTACTGAAATCAATATTCATAATTTGAGTTATTTGAATTTAAATACTTGGATATTACTTAAGTACCTAAATATTATTTAGTTAAAATGTGTTATTGTGACAGTAATACTAATATTAAATATTTACCTTCAGAAGATAGATGCAGGTAGAGGTGTCCTAGATTCGTCCCATAGGTGTTGGTTGCTTTGCACTCAAACAGACCGTTCACGTGTGGAGAGGGATTAAGAATCTGCAGCACTGCACCACTGACCTTCACTGCTGAGTCTGACCACGGCAATCCACTTCTGAAAAAACATGTCATTGTGGTCAATAGCAGAACGTTTCCAGTCAGCCTTGCCTCTGCATTTTTTATACTGAAGCTGTTTTTATGCCTGTCACGATAGGACATTTTGAAGTGCTATATATTGCTGAAGTAAATGTCCCCATTGCAACAGAGCAGTGGGCTGCTTTTGTGGTTGCTTGGCTCACACAGCCTTGTGCAGCAACAGCAAATCTTGAATTTCCCTTGGGATAAATAAAGTATGTCAGGGCTTGACATTAAGCATTTACAAGTACTTGACCGGGCAAGTGGCTATAATTTTTTACTTGTCCGACACCCAGACTTACTTGCCCGGAAAAACAAAATGGTGCTCAGTTAATTATATATTTTTAAATATGTGCACAGGCTAGTGTCGTAGTACTCTAGACCTTTTTTTAGGGCCTGGCTCAGCACAACATGCTCCTGGGGCAGATCTGTGTCGATTGATTGATTGATAGCATTTATATAGCGTCTTTCAAGATACCCAAAGCGCTTTACAGTTCATTATTCATTCACTCCACACTCAGTGGTGGTAAACTACTACTGTAGCCACAGCTGCCCTGGGGCAGACTGACGGAAGCGAGGCTGCCAATCTGAGCCATCAGCCCCTCCGACCACCACCATCACTCACGCTCACACCTCTTTCATACTAGGCAATGCAGGTGAAGTGTCTTGCCTAAGGACACAACGACCCACTGTGGCACCTGGAATTCCTAGCGGTCTCCCATTCAAGAACTACTTAGGCCCAGCCTGCTTAGCTTCTGAGATCTGACGGGATCAGGCTTTTACAAGCTGGTATGGCCACAGTGTCGTGTGAAAGAGCCCATGTCCAGAAATACTGTTAATTAGTGCTTTAAAATTTGATTTTGAAATCCTCGCGTTTGCCCTGGTCAGCCTGTACAGAAGGTGAATACAAGTATGTTCAGCTGTTAGGGCCTGGCTTGACTGCATGCACATTTCGCTCTATGCAAGCGTAAAAACTGCAACTTTTGGACGTTTAACTTTTAGAATGCATGGAAAGTGAATGAGGACGGCTTCACTGCAGGTGCTAGACGCACGAATGGAGCAACGTGTCCTGCACGCGTAGATTTCAGAAAATAGGATCCATCCTATTTTTTGACACTCTACGCGTATCCCCATCAAAATACACAGAGCATGAATCTTTGGTTGTATTTGTGCCTTTACCGTCAGGACAACGTGCTCCTGGGGCAGATCTGTGTCATGTAAAAGAGCCCAGGTCCAGAAAGACTGTTAATAAGAGCTTTAAAATTTACTTTTTAAAATCGTGGCTTTTGCCGTGGTCAGCCTGTACAGAAGGTAAATACAAGTGTGTTCAGCTGTTAGTTTAACTGTAGACCTGATACAAGCGGCTAAACGCGCCCAGTCAAATTTGATCGTCTTTCTCATTGAGAAACACAGAGCCAGAGCTGCGCGTGTACTTCCTGCTGCAAGCTGCCGGTAGAACCGCCTTTGCGTTGACGCACGGCTGTGGTTTCGCGAGGTTACACGAGTTATTGGTCTCGTCTCGGACTCGACCACGTTTGGACTCGGTCTTGAAGGCGCTTGGACTCGGTCTTGTCTCGGACTCGAGGTCTGACTTTAGACAGGTGCGATCATATTTCATTACGGCCACTGCTCTCGGCAATAAACTTGTACCGGTGTGCGGGTGCGTGCGGGGTGTCTCGCTGCAGCCTGTGCATTTGTGTGGAGCGCCCCCAGCGCGCGTGCCTTGTCCGCAACAGCGTGTACCCTCTCGTACCAGAATGTATCACAGGGCAGGTTAAACTTTTTAAAACATTCTACCTGCCCATCTGCCTCACGTCATCTGCTCCTTCTTTTCGCGCTCTCGCTCCTCCCTGCATATAGCACAAACGGGCTCCCTCTTCATTGCCCACAGATTAGAAAAATAATACTAAAACGAATCCAAATTTATGTTACATTGTTGGCACAAAGTCTAAAAAAGGGCAGTGTTCAGTACAGTACAGTTTGCTTGTCTTAATTTAATCTTAAATTAACATTTATCAGATAAAATGGAGATAGATTTCTAAAAATATTGATATATATGTGCCAAAATAACTGTAAAATCCAAATAAATGTAAAAAATGACAAAGATGGTCATGATTTGGTCTCGATGGGCTGTGGTCTTGGTCTTGTCCTGGTCTCAGGACCCTGAGGTCTCAAACAGGTCTTGGCCTCAGTTAATGCAGTCTTGACTAGAACTCTAGCACAGGCATATAAAAACTTTTTTTTCATATGAATACCAACATAACATGACCACAATGACTAAATGGTTTGAGAGAGTGGGGCAGAATCTCAAATATATAAAACAAGTTTAAATCATTTCATACTACACTCCACAGTGTAAATATGGAGGGGAAAAAAGAAGCATAAATGAAAAAGTGTGTCCAAATTTGTATGTATATGAGATGAAAATGATTATCATTGGTCTTCTCATTAAATTGTTCTCTTGTATCCACTCAGAGATCTAAGAGTGCCTCAACGTGTCTCAGGTTGTCAGACCCATATGGGCAGGTGACAACTAGAACTAATGTGATTATAGATAAATATGACAGAACATCTATAGTCCTGGTTGCTGTCATCTGGGACCAGTGCTGGGACCAATGAGCAAGTTAATCTGAAACTGTGATCATATTGCCTTTTGTAGTGTAACATTTTGTAATGCAGTATTGTCCCTCATATGTAATGGAGTTACACTACTTTGAATTACTTCTGATTTACTTTCTGTATGTTTAAAGTAAATTTTGGCTTCATGAGCTTCACAAATATATAGCCTTATAAGTCCTTCCCTTGGACCCTCGCCCACAGGTTAAGAAACTGACTTTCACTTGCACATTTCACATTCCAAATATTTTAGTGCCAGTACACCATAGAACTGGACTTGCACGAGCCTATAGTCTGCGCAGATAGCGTTGGGTATCGAAACTCTGTTTCAAGTAGGCATCGACCAAAAAGGCCCGGTAAGTACTGGTAAGTACTAAAAAACTGGTATTAAAAAAAACAAATGTTCGCTCGGTGCCCACTTTCGGTCCCTTTCATTAAATGCCCGCGTCAATAAGCCAACACACACTTTAATTTCACTTCAATGTATCAGTAGTGCAGGTGTTCACGCGTCAGTACTGCGCTCTGCGCAAATGTACTGCACAAACAGCGCTCATGTTTAACATGTTGAGCATGTCTTACATATGTCCAAGCTAAGTGCAGTGTGTCTCTTACCGGTAAAACAGAAGGGCTGAAGAAACAAGGTGCAGCGTGAAACTTGTATCCACCCGAAAACACCCAGTCTCCAGTGCGGGGCGTTTATAGTGTCTCAAAGCCAAAGTGCGTAATAATAAATCCACATCCAGTCACAGCCTGCAGTGTCCGCGTCAAATTTAAGCCAAACATAATATGAACCAAAACTCCGCAAAAACCCTGCTCCTCATTGGTAAATATATCCAGCGTGGAGCGCGTGTGCGTAAAGATGTATCCAAACGAATCTGCCTAAAGTTCTCCATAATTCTCCTCCGTCCTCCTCCGAGTAGCAAAAGCGTAAAGTTATTAATCAAAGTAAGAGCACATGCTCCATGCGCTGCCTTTTATATAAAGTGCAGAAAACGAGAAACAAAAGCGAAACTTAAGCGCAGGTCAGTCTTCGTGACAATCAGTTGTGCGTTTATTTGCGTGCGCATTTGGAGTTATACCTGAACCGTGTATAGTAGCCTACTCTGTTTTAAAATATGAATTAACATAGATATAAAGTTATTCAATGACTGAAAAGTATTTGCTTAATAATATTGGCCATTAATTTGCATAAAAACATAAATTGTAACTATACCCTTTGCGCACTTATAAAGAAAACTACTACATATCTCGGTCCTCTACTGTGGAGTTAGTTTGGACTGCTTAAATTTAGGTCCTTGTTCGCGCTTCTCGTCGCTGCGTAATAGGTTAAGAAAACACGGGATTTACGCGCGTGGCACTGGAGCGACGCACTGGAGGCGCACAGGTAGGACTGTTCTCTATGAATGGATCTCATTACGATGTGGGAGTGTGCACGTACAGGGCTCCATGAGGACTGAAGTAGAGAAGCAGGTTTAATGTCACGCGGCGTGGTCCTCCGGTGACACACGCCCCGCTCACAGAGCGCACGTATCGCTTGGAGACGCCCCGGTACCGTCCCAGTGAATGTTATTCCCAAAAGCACGGGCTATAATAATAACCTATGCATTTTAACTAATTACTGAGATTAGTGAGTAGGCTTGATAAATATATGGCAAATTTTTGGAGTTTGGTTTAACCCTGAGTTCGATTTTCATTCCGACGCGTCATGAAGCTGCCTAGATATGTGAGATGTGACGGTAGAATGAGAGACAAAACAAAAGGGGTGGAGTAGCGCGGTCCGCACTAAGGGACATTTTTGATTGACTGGGCAAAGATTGTGGTGCAGGAGGCAGCGTAATACTACGTCCGTTTTATTTAAGATGCCTACAGTCAGTGGGAAAGACAAAACATTGACTGTGATGCGCACAGCAGCGCGCATGAAGTGAGCACTTGTCACCGCGGCCGTTTTTCGTGGCAGTCCAAAAGGTTGGACCTATCTGTTCCTTTCACGGAAATGAAAAAAATGCGTTATAAACGGACAACCCGTCGCTTTGTTTGTCAACCAAATAAATAGTTATTATTACTGGGGGACTAGAGTGTCGCTTTATTTTCACTTGCCCGCTCGGGCAACTGGCAGAGGAGAGTACTTGCCCGGACAAAAGTTTTAGTTGCCCCGGACCAGCGGACAACCGTTAATGTCGAGCCCAGGGTTTGTTACAAAACATTTTATATTTATTACTTTAAAAGGACAAATTATGCATTTTTGTTTCTCGTACACCCATTATTAAAGTAAAACAGCTCAAAATGGGTCATTAACTTTGTGTTCAAAACTGAAGAGGCCCGACCCCTGATAGCTGCATTTCACCATAAAGTAGCAGATTTTCATTTACTTGTTTAAATGCAAGACAGGGCTAAGGGTGGAGATAAGGGGCAGACGAAAACAGAACAAACACTCAAATCACAAGAACAAAACAATACTGGATTACTCAAACATCCATGAACTAACTGAAATATAATGACAAAAGCAAATGATGAAGGAACACTGTTATGATGATTCAAAGCTTTAAATATGTAGGGCCCGATTTTGCCCCTGATCTTAGCATTAGTGCTAGTGTTAAGGAGGGGTCGTGTCCAGGTCAGCCTGCACTTCGCTGCTGGAGGCTGGAGTGGCATGGTCCAAGTACAGTACATATATGGTGATGACATCTCAACCAGTCAATCAATCTGGGACCGCTGTAGCATTTACAAAATAAAAAGAAAAGAAAAGAAAAATAAAGGAATTCTTGAGCATGGTACATGTTGTTTTTCAGTCGACTAGTTTGATACTTATTTTTAAATTCTGGCAATTCATTGAACGTGCCACACCAGGCCCTCAGTCTACTCCACTCCACCCGATATTCAGGCACGGCATACCTCCTGTTTAGAGCTCCACAGCCCACAGTTGTGCTAGTGCTACTATCAGGGGCAAGATTGGGCCTATGGAGTTAGTTCAGCTCAACGACATCTCCAATTATCCAGACGCCCTAGTTACACAGGCCTATCCCAAAAACACAATGTGTCTCTTCTCTCTCAGCCACTCCCTTTCAGTTTTTTTCAGGCTGAAGGCCTCATCATCTATAGAGCTTCCTGCCTGAGAAAGAACCATATCATATCAATATCCATATCATCAATAAATATTTTTATCGTATACCATTGTTGTGGCGTGGTTCTTGTTAGTGAAGTACCTTTTAAATGTGATTTAAAATATGTCCCTTTTAAAATGTGGTTACAGAACATGAATAATAAGATATTTATACCTTCTCCATGTGTAGTTGGCCTCTGGGTTGGCTTCAGACACACACTCAAATGAAGTTTTGGATAGTTCACGTATCCTGACTTCACTTGGTGGGACTAAAGGAAAAAGGAAACACAGTTAAATCAAAGTCCAGAAGGGGAATTCCAAAGCCTGTGTTCTGTGACTCATACACAATGCACGAATGAATGGAGTAGGTTCAAAGTATTGTATGTTAGTTTAAGGGTGTGGTGATCTTAAAAGTCAACAAAGAATCTACTATCAAATTAATACTTTATACACATGTGGCGAATGATAAAAATTATATTGTAACACCTAGTATAAAAGCATGCACAAGAGACTAAAATATATCACTCAGGTAAGGCAACTTATATTCAATAAAGCTTATAAATAAATATTTAAAAAATTATGCATTTTAAATTACACAAAATGTATAAATATAATATGGATTCATAAATAAATATAATATGGATTCATAAATATGTGCGAGTGAACTTTATGGTTTTCAGTTGAACAGATCTGCACCAGCTCAATATCAGATGATATTTACACTATAAAAGAGTAGTTTGAATTTGAACAGCTGTTTTTCCATTAGTAAAGGATAATGTGATTTATATTTGCTATGACTATTTTGTGAGCCATCCTCATCCCTCATACTCTCGTCCCTCTATTTTCAGCTATTTATTATAGAACACAGACAGAATGAAAAGTTATTTAATATAAAACTCACAGTGGATCTGAATATTGAGAGGTAGTGTGGTCCCATTTGGTAATGCTGGACTCCTGACTACACATTGTATGGAATGATTGTGGAGGTTTCTTGTGGGAGTACCAAGCAAAGTGCTGACTGTAGTGGTTGTCCCATCCGCGTTTTGGGTTGAATTGTTTGTTACTCTCAGCAGCAGAGACAGTCTTCCTAAGTCCCAGCCCACGTTCGCTGAAGGCCAGAAATATGCAGCTTTGCAAATCGCAAGAACTACCTCCTCATTCCCCACAGTGAGGAAATTGTCTTTCAGTGTGGTTTCTGGAGGCACTGCAATATCAAAATTGGGAAACAGTTACTAAGAACCAAATATATAGCCATACAAAACATGGAGCAGTTTTAATACCTAGTACATTCAGCGGTATCTCTGTCTTGACGTTACCACTAGGAAACAAAGTGTATATGCATGTATAGGTCCCTTCATCAGACAGTGTCACGTTGGACAATTGCAACGATCCATTTCTTAGAGAAAAATTTCCTACAAAGTGGAATCGCTCATCCTGCCCATTGACGTAAAACGGACCGTTTGATTTCAAAATGGTGTAGAAATTAGTGTTGTCTTTAATCAGTCTGGTTCTCCTTTGCCAGGTAATCTGAGTCAGGCTTTCTGTAGTTTCAGTGAGGAAGCAGGGAAAAACAGCGGTGTCTCCCTGGATAACAGACACGCTCCCCCCAATCACCTGCACAGCTGCAAGAAAATAAGCATGAATGAAAGGGTTATGACAACAGACCCTTCGAAGTCATAAATAAAATAGGTCTAAAACCAGGCCTATCTAAATTTTACTATGAAAACATCAAGTAGGCTATATGTGAAGTGTAAATGCTAGATTAGCACGTAGCATCCTCAACAGACTAGGCCTATTTTACGATCAGAAACATTGATAAATGACCACAGAAAATTATAAACACTCGACTTGAATCATGCGAACTAGCTTTTGCGGTCAAGTGGTCTGAATTCTGAATAGGCTATTATGTAGCTCAAAAACCGTGGAAAAAGTAAACACGGACTCAGCCCTCTTTGTCGCGCTGCCCACTCGAGGAATCGAATAGTTATGTATCCTACGCTACATCCACACAGAAGTTCCTACTGAATAAAAAAACCCACCTTGTATCACAGCGTTTCGTAGAACAAAGATTATCACCAGTAAACTGTACATTTCCTTCTAGAACAGATACTGGGAGTGTACCAGTGGTAGGGTTATCCTTCACACCACATGCAGTTCCAAGTCCCAATAACTCCCCCTCCAGGTCAGGAATGTGCTGTTGAAATTGTATTTATATATATATCAGACTGTATAAAAAAGTAATGTGTATGATCACAGTTCTTACACAAAGTAATTCTTTACTAAGTTCTTTACAGATAAAGAAAAATTAAAATCACAATGCAAACAAATAAAAACATAAAACATCAGTAATTAAAGACCCACAAGAAGACCCCTGTCCCCAACCCTCCATAGAAGATTTTAAGTAATTTAATAGACTGTCTCCGTATACTGTACTACTAGGCTATAAATACCAGCCTCATAACTCCCTCCTCCTTTTTATTTACATGGAAAATAATGAATACTCTTTGTACTCACCTACAGAGACAAACAAATGAGTAGCAGTCCGCCCTATATATATATATATATATATATATTATATATATATATATATATATATATATATATATATATATATATATATATATATATACACACACACACACACACACACACACATACAGTGTTGGGAAGGTTACTTTTAAAATGTATTTCCCTACAGATTACAGATTACATACCCCAAAATGTAGTTTGTAACATAATCCATTAAATTACTTAAAGTGAGTAACGTAATCTGAATACTCTGAATTACTTGATTTTCTGTATAGAAACAAAGACTAGGATATCATAACATAAAATGTTTAATCTGCTAAAAAACTATGAAATGCCCAGTCTTTACTTAACCAAATTAAAAATATTATTGATAGAAGAGGAGGAGACACGTTCTGCACAGCATGATTTAGTCCTGTTAAATCCTGTTTTAAACATGATTTAGACCTGGTTTTAGACCTGGTTTTAGTCCTGGTTCTACACCTGGTTTAGACCTGGTTTAGACCTGGTTTTAGTCCCGGTTTAGACCTGGTTTTAGACCTGGTTTAGACCTGGTTTTAGACCTGGATAAGTCCTGGTTTAGATCTGGTTTAGTCCTGGTTCAGACCTGGTTTAGACCTGGTTTTAGACCTGGTTTTAGACCTGGTTTAGACCTGGTTTTAGACCTGGTTTAGACCTGGTTTTAGACCTGGATTAGTCCTGGTTTAGACCTGGTTTTAGACCTGGTTTTAGTCCTGGTTTAGACCTGGTTTTAGACCTGGTTTTAGACCTGGTTTTAGACCTGGTTTAGACCTGGTTTAGTCCTGGTTTAGACCTGGTTTTAGACCTGGTTTTAGTCCTGGTTTAGACCTGGTTTTAGACCTGGTTTTAGACCTGGTTTAGACCTGGTTTTAGTCCTGGTTTAGACCTGGTTTTAGACCTGGATTAGTCCTGGTTTAGACCTGGTTTAGTCCTGGTTTAGTCCTGGTTTAGACCTGGTTTTAGACCTGGTTTAGTCCTGGTTTAGTGTCCGGCAATAAGTGGAATTACCAAAAAAAAAAAAAAAGGGATATAGCCCGGAATGTGAAAACAGGAAAATACCGCCGTGTAATCCATTTATTTCAAAAAGTAACTGTAATCCAATTACCATTCACTTAAACAGTAACTGTAACCGAATACAGTTACTCATAATTTGTACTCTGATTACGTAACTCCGGTACAAAAATCAAACATTGCTTTTCACCTGTGGTTCAACAGAATAATTAGAAAAAACGAAATAATGAAATTCGCCTGGACAAAAATGATGGTACCCTGAACTTTATATTTTGTTATACAACCTTTTGAAACAAACTCTGCAAACAAACGATTTCAGTCACTGTCAATGAGACTTCTGCACTGATCAGATGGTATTTTGACCCATTTCTCATAAGCAAACTGTTCTTGTTGTCTCCGGTTTGAAGGGTGCCTCCTCCAGACAGTATGTTTCAGCTCCTTTCACAGATGTTCAGTAGAATTGAGATCTGGGATCACAGAAGACCACTCCAGAACAGTCCAATGTTTTGTTCTTAGCTATTCTTGTGTGTTTTTAGCTGTGTGATTTGGATCATTATCCTGTTGGAAGACCCATGACCTACAACCAAGATCAAGCTTTCTGACACTAGGCAACATATTTCGGTCCAAAATACCTTGATAGCTTTGAGATTTCGTTGTATCTTGCACAGATTCAAGACACCCTGTGCCAGATGCAGCAAAACAGCCCCAGAACAAAACCAAGCCTCCTCCATGCTTCACAGTAGGGACAGTGTTATTTTCTTGGTGTGCTTCATTTTTGTGTCTGTGAACATAGAGCTGATGTGCCTTGCCAAAGAGCTGTAGTTTTGTCTCATCTGACCAATGAAGCTTTGTGACTTGTCAATATGCACTGTGACAAATTCCAGTCTCACTTTTTTATGATTTGCTCTCCGCTATGGTGTCCTCACATGAAGTCCACTTTGGCTCAAACAGTGATGGATGGTGCAATCTGACACTGATGTACTTTGCCCTTCGAGTTCACATTTAATTTGTTTGGAGGTGGTTTGGGGCTCTTTCGTTCCATTTGTATGATCCATCTCTTCAATTTGTCATACATTTTCCTCTTGTGGCCACATCCAAGGAGGTTGGCTTCAGTCTTGTGGACGTTAAACTTCTGAAGAACATGTGTAACTGTAATCACAGGAACATCAAGCTGCTTGGAGACGGTCTTATGGCCTTTATCTTTAATCTGCTTGTCTATCATTTTCTTTCTAGTTTCCTGACACAGTTCTCTTCTTCACTTTTTCTGGTCTATGTTCAGTGTTGTCTCCATCATGTCTCCAAACAGCCTGATGACAACATGTCTCCCTTTAAATAGGCAGACTGACTGAGGATAAGATTGAAGACACCTGTAATGCAGATTAGAGGACACACCGAAGTTTAACATGTCCCTATTGTTCAATTCTATATATTGTTCTAGAGGTACCATAATTTTTGTCCAGGCCAGTTTCATTAATATTATTATTATTTTTTTTATAATTCTGTTGAACAACAATTCAAAAACAGTGTCTGATTTTCATAGTTTTTTTTTCAGGACATTTTTATTTATTATTGCTTTTCTTAGTTTCAAGTTATTTCAGTTAAATTGTTGATTTTTCTTTCATTACCAGAGGGGTACCAACAATTTTATCCTTGACTGTACATCTTTTATACAGTCTCTGGTATGTATATAAAGATTACAGGCAATGAAAACATGCTTACTGCTGTACACAACACAACATAACAATATGTATTTCATTATGTTTATATATATATATATATATAGAAAATATTAAATTTGGCAATGTTAGCATTAGCCATGTTTCGTCATCTTAGCCTATGTTTAGTTTGATCGTTTTCATTTAGTGTTACATTCTAGTCAGATTATATTCTTTTTAGCCTAATTCATCAGCCGGTTTCACTTCATGGAAACCATCTGACCTCACAGCGTTAGGATTTGTTCACTCAACGGTAGGCAGGTACTTTTTTAATTTAACCAGCTGCTGCTATTTGGTTGTGACGTATGTAATGCATCGCTAAGCTTTTCTATTAAGCTTTTTCCAAATCCCGTAGGAAGAAGGACAATAACATTCTCTTTGTGTTCCGGCTTTAAATCCTTGATCTCAGGAATCATTGCCAACACAGAATGTATGGCTCTTTGCTGATTGGCTGGTGCCCGGGCATGCACTTTCAGGTTGCAAACCGTCTAAGGTGATTCCTGACTGATTATTTTAATAGATCCATGTTCCTGACCTAGTCGCTGGAGAGAAATGGAACTGAGCGAAGGCACTAGGTGGCACCAGCCTGGTTAAATTTTTTTTAAAGCTATTTGTTGAATTAAAACACAATTTTATTAAAAGTCCATAATACTTAAACTTGTTGGAAATTTTGGGTTTATCACAAATGTGTCACTGAAATTTGATAATGTTTAAAATGCATAATTTAAAATAGAATAGTTTTAGTAAAGGACAATGTTGCTGTTACTGTCCTACCTGCAAAAGCATGACTGCAGATCAGAATGAGTGGCAGAAGAGTTTCCACTACAGTTACCATTGCATCAGGTCTGAACCATAGAGTGTCTATAAACAGTCTGAACATGTGGTAGTAGCACAAAGGAAGTATCAGGGGTTTGTCTTTGCAGGAAAAGATCAAGCTTAACACTTGATTCCACTAGCATAGGGGGTTAAACATGTGTGAATGAAACAAAACATAACTCCAGGTACAGTATGTTTGTGATGAGGAAACAATATTATAATATACAACATAAATAGAGTAATATGATACCTTAAAGTAATATTTAGTTCCTCTGACCTCTTCTCCAGCCTGCACGACTGTATACAAAACCTGACTCTGCCCCTCGTGTTGGTTTGATGTTTGCTGAAATCTCCAAACATAAATAAGTTATGAAAAACTATTACATACACATTTTGTATTCTTACACACTGATTATGTTCATGCACATCAAAATCTGATCTGATTTCTGGACATTTAAGATGATTTAAATTACACCTTAACCACTAAATCTGATGTGAGTGTTCAGAGGGACCATGACCAGAAAGAAATTCATAGTTTTCGCTGTTTGCAAGTGATTTTAATAATTTTATCACCCACTGAGCCACACAACTATACACAGGTCCACTCACACCTAGACATACTCGAAGAGAGAGGTGCTTAACTAAGAGAAAGGGCAGCAGATGAGTAGCAATCCGCCCTTAGAAGACAGCATGTATATGAAGATTACAGACAATGACAGCATGCTTACTGCTGCACGCAACATATATATGTATTTCATTATGTGTTAATATTTTATATAAAAATATGAAATGTTACAATGTTAGCATTAGCCATGTTTTGTCATCTGAATCTACCTTTAGTTTGATCCTTTTCCTTCAGTGTTACATTCCAGATGATATTTTTTCACCTGTTTGTTGAATTAAAGCACATTTATAGATTCCAGTGTCATTTTCTTAAAAGTCCAGAAATACATAAACTTGGTGGAAACTTTGGGTTTATCACAAACGTGTCACTGACATTCGATGATGTTATGTTGTCATATATGCGTATGGTATTATGAATACTATTTTAGTTCTAAAAATAAATGTTAATGTGGTCAATAGCAGAATGTTTGTGGTCAGTCTTTCCTCTGCATGTTTAACATTGTGTTTTTTTGTTTGTTTGTTTGTTTTATGTATTTTATCTTATCTAGTATGTTTTGTATTTATTTATGTATTGATTTATTTGACTGGGACAGTGCATGTTAATGGACAGACATGACACAACATGAATATAAACACACCGGATTATTTCCAAAGGCTAATTTCCATCCCCTAGTCCCTAAGGGCTGAGGTCACAGGTCACCAAACAATAAAATATTATAATAAAATATATAACAGTCCAGTCATTGCACAGTTCTTGTTATTTTTTAAGTCAATTTGGCCACACATGCAATACATATTTTGTCCATACATGCAAATATGTCTCTATGAAAGATCAACTAAAATCACAATGTAACTATAAATGAGGACATGTTTGGTTTGACCATAACCAGTTTTTCATTTGAGCTTTAAAATAACTATAGAGTCTTCTTTTTCAGAATGTGACAGTGATGTTGGGAAATGGGTTTTTTATCAAGTATTTTTACACCTCTTTTATAAACGTTTTCAATGCTTTTAAGAGTTGTGGGGCAGACAAGAGACCAAGTGGTTAAACAGTACAGAAATAATCAAGGAGCAGAAATAAGTTTTAGTAGCATTCATGTTTAAGTTGTTCCTGATGTGACGAAAATTCAGATTATTAAATTGAGTTACTTGACTTTTGAAGGACAATATTGGATCTAGATTAACTGCAAGGTTTTTAAATTCTGCAACCAGATGAAGTTCTGCTCCATTAAGAAAAATATTTCATTGCTTCAGTTCGGTATGACACTTTGAGAAGTACATACAGACAGTCTTTTGGTGTTTAACAAGAGGCACGAATCCTTGCACCAGTTATGCACAGACAATAGGGCAGCTGTGAGACCATCAGCAGCTTGCTGAAAGCTCTTGGCTTCAGTGTAGATGCTTGTATCGTCTGCATACATCTGTGAAAATACATCTGGACAAGCATTTGGCAAGTTGTTGATAAAAAGGGAGAATAACACTGGCTCAAGGATTGACCCCTGCAGGACACCAACATCACAATCTAAACACTGTGATTTTACACCATCAACTAGCACATACTGTGAGACAGATACAGTGTAAACCATTGAAGAGCTTGACTGGAGACGTAAAACTGAGTCAACCTAGACAGCAAAATCTGATTGTTTATAAAGTCAGAGGGTTTCTTCAAGTCTAAGATTTTGTGCACTGTGCAAAAGTACAAATGTGCTTTTGTTAGATGTAAGTGAGAGATCATTCATCATACTATGATATTGTCTTTGTTATGAAAGTTTTGATATACTGCTCCATCTGGATTACTCTGCATGTGTGGGTGAACTTCATGGTTTTGAGTTTAACACATCCGCACCATTAGACGATATTTACACTACAGAGGGAGTTTGAACTTGACGCTTGTAGGTGTAACCCAGGTCAATTAGCCCCAGTTACACTTTACTGTGGCTGGATAACTTAACTTTTAAAGACCCTTGGTCCCCCAAGACCCTCCTGTCCCCCAACCCCCTGTACAAGATGGGTAGTAATGAGTGTCCGTCTCTGTATACAGTACTAAACACTTGTGAGATTACTTCTAGATTAATGGACTAGTCTGGTAACAAAATGGCTTTCTGCTGTGGTGTAGGCTGATACATAAAAGAAATATTACAACAAGAGCTCTCATTTTATTATTTCTTCACAGTACCTTATGGAAACTTCCATATGAGGCCAAGTAATAGTGGCACTAGTCTGTCTAGTCTAGTACACAAATGTTTTTTTTTTGTTTGTTTTTTTTTTGTTTTTTTGTAACTATTATTAAATCTTTTATCACAGTTCATAGATGGAGTTCACTCTCTCTACATATTGATCAACAGCGCCATCCAGTGGTCTGCCCTAGAACAGGAGAAAGACAGTTAAGACAATAAATATGAATAGTTTCTTCTTAAGTAATAATATAATATTTAGTTCCTCTGACCTGTTCTCCCGACTGCATGGCTGTCTGCAAAGCCCCATCTGTCTGACTCTGCCCCTCGTGTTGGTTTGATGTTCTCCAAAATCTGCAAAAATAATTAAGTTATGAAAAACTGTTTCACGGCATTTTGCATTCTTACACAGTGGCTATGTTCATACACACCACTAAATCTGAGACGAGTATTCAGGGGGACAATCAGCAGAAAAAAAAAAAAAACATAGTTTCTGCTGTTTGCATGTGTTTTTATCAATTTATAACAAAAAATAAAACTAAAGAAAACAATAATAATCAGTGAGTGTTCACACTGGTGCCGGTGTTGACAAGGGAAATTATGCAAAAAAGACTAAATTCACGGTACTTCCAAATGCACCAGTTAAAATACAACACACTTTTGTTATTTTCATGTAAAATAATAAATAATCTTTGTACTCACATACAGAGACAAACAGCTGAAGAACAAATGAGTAATCCGCCCATAGTTGAGATGTATATGAAGATTCCAGACAATAAAATCACGCTTACTCCTGCACACAACATTAATATATATTTAATTTATTTTATATAAAAATATGAAATTTGGCAACACTTAAATTAGTCATATTTTGCCTTGCTTTACTTACCTTTAGTCTGATCCTTTTCTGTCAGCGTTACGTTCCAGATGGTAGTTTCTAGACCTTTTTTGTTAGTTACAACACATTTATAGATTCCAGTGTCATTTTGTTGAAAATCCAAAATACTTAAACTTGGTGGAAATTTTGGGTCTATAACAAATGTGTCACTGAAATTTGATGATGTTTTGTTGTCGTTAAATGCATAATGGTATTTTCCTCTGGACCAGTTGACTTGTGTTATTCGTATATTTGGCGTACTGCATGTGAGATTGACCCGGTCTCCTCTTGATGCCATGATGCTGCTGACTGAATCTAGAAATCAAAATAATAAAAAAATATATAATATTGCAAATGACAAATAGAATAGTTTTAGTAAAGGACAATGTTGCTGTTACTGTCCTACCTGCAAAAGCATGACTGCAGATCAGAATGAGTGGCAGAAGAGTTTCCACTACAGTGACCATTGCATCAGGTCTGAACCATAGAGTGTCTATAAACAGTCTGAACATGTGGTAGTAGCACAAAGGAAGTATCAGGGGTTTGTCTTTCCAGGAAAAGGTCAAGCTTAACACTTGATTCCACTAGCATAGGGGGTGGTGTTGTCTAAGTAGTGGTACTCAGTAAGTTCTTAATAAGAGTTAAACATGTGTGAATGAAACAAAACACAACACCAGGTACAGTATGTTTGTGATGAGGAAACATTATTATAATATACAACATAACATGCACATCGAAAACTGATCTAATTTCTGGACATTTAAGATGATTTAAATTTAAACACGTAAACCATTAAATCGGATGTGAGTGTTCAGAGGGACCATGACCAGAAAGAAATTCAATGTTTTTGCTGTTTGCATGTGATTTTAATAATTTTATCACCCACTGTGCCACACAGCCACACACAGGTCCGCTCAAAATTAGACATACTCGAGGAGAGAGGTGCAAGTCTTTTTCAAAAGAGCTTTCAGACAGTTTGGATGTAAAGTTATTTGTTTTAATCTAATTTCCAAATAGATTCCTAAACCAAATGACATCTGAAGGTCAGGTGTTTGAATCATCTAACAGTGTTCACATAAAGCTTTGAGCACTGACATAGTTATACCCACAGTGGGAAATGTAACCACAGCCTTTGTTGGTACAGTTACTTAAGCGGAAGTAAAAAAAATATGACCAAAAACCAAAACAGAGATGAGTAACTGTGAAAAGAAACATATCATTTTTTTTTGTTTGTATTTTAAAAAAGAACCAAAATTAAAAATGTTGAGTTAGACATTTCATATTGTGAGAAAAAAAAGTGTTGTTTTTGGAATATAGATGACATAAAATCAGATGCTGTTGCTTCATGTTTAAATACCTGAATGCATTTTTCATCATGAATGCAGCTTTGTCAGTGCACGAAATTTGTGTGAAGTGTAGGTGTGATATGTCACCTACAGCCTCTGAGTTGTTTGACATCTTTGTTCCTAGGTCAAGTGTGTTTATAAAGTACATTTAAAATCACAACTACCTAAAGTGTTGTACGTGGACAATATAAAATGCAATCTAATACATACAAAAACACAATCAAATAATACAAATGTAGTGCTCAAGGCCAGGTTAATGACGAGGGGCCTGGTATGGCAGTGTGCAGACGCCATTGGTTATACTCAGCAGGACTGTGATGAGACAACACACACTGCAAGTCCATAACACTGCATCTGTTTAGCACTGGGAAATTATCACTTATTTGCAAACGCCTTAATTACAACAATGATTGACAATAATTAGGCAGTGTGATTATGCAACACAGTTTTTTATATGTATATTAGACACCACTGTACATTCAAAGATGACCTCTCTGCGCACTGTGTTTGATGCTGAGGAAATTCTGTACTGACGGTTTCATTTCCTATGCTATGCAATTATGATACTTTGCAGAGGCATTAGTTTCTGAATTTAGCTTACAAAGTGATGCATTTTTTTCTAAACCCTCTAAAACATAGCCAGTGTACAGGTGAACTTATTATTAACTGTTATATTTTAGCTCTTTGTTGTTAGATTTATTGTCATGTGTGAGCTACTAATTTCCCTTGTGGGTCAATAAAGTTTGTTAAAGTCTAAATCTAAGTTACGTTTAATCTTCTAACATAGTTTACATGTAGTTCAAGTCAAATGCTACTAGAGAGTTGAAGTAACATGCTTTGACATTTCCTGCCTTAGAAGTTTGTCTTTCACATGACTCTCATTTGAATCCAGGCAGAAATTTCTATTTAAACAAGTGGGTGAAATGACTATTGAAAACTAGCCTCACTTTTGTTCATATTTCAGTGCTGAGTAGTAATGCACAAGTAGCCCACTGCATGCGTTTAAAGGTGCAAGCAAATGTTATTGCTTTGCTTTGTTGTATTAAGTAAAATGTACTTACTACCACAATTAATAGTCATGAATTTACTGAGTAATTGTTTAGTTTTAATAGTTTTTGTGAATGGGTGAGTAGTTTAAAGCGCTTTAAGTGGTTTGAAGGTGGAAAAGCGCTATATAAAAATGTGACCATTTACCATCTATTATACATCAGTAAATACTAGACATATAACATTTATTTATTTCATCAATGCAATTAATTATGACAATATTTTATATATTTTACTTAATTTATTTACATCTTTATTTACAACTTCAAACTTAAAAAAAATTTGTAACAATTCATGGTGGTAAGTACATTTTACTTATCCCTCTCCAGGCAGGCGTTGCAGATTTGCAACAGCTAAACGCCAATTACCTACTTACTCCAAATCCATATTTTATGAGATTTTTTTTACTCAGGAGCCTTTTTTCCCATCCATGCTGATAAACGTGGACAATGCAGACTGTGCAAGAATGGCTTCATGCAAACGACCTGCCAAAAGTGCAAAGTACTTTTGTTGTTTACAAAGGATAAAAATTGTTTCTTGGAGCACCACACAAAAAAGTGATGTTGTTCTGCCACTGTAAAGCACTGTTACAAGGTGCTTTATGTTTTCATTGTTATGAAAAGTGGTTTACACATAAAGTTAGCGTTCATATCATTTTCAGTCTTCAGTGTTAATTTACCACACCGGACCAATGCTGCAAATCTGTAACATCCCAGAACGCATTGGATGTGAAGGTCTCTCTCAAAAAAAAAAGGTCAGGATTGTATATTAATACCCCATATGATAATTTTCCCCAAATACCAGATTTTTTCCTGTTACTAAAATTTAATTAGAGCCTGAGAGGGTTAATACTGACAAGTAATTGTACTTGATATTACAGCAGTGAATTTTACATAAAAAATGCTAGAGCAATTTGTTACAAGGATTTTTTTCTAGTAAATCTTAAGTTATTATTTTTTTCAGTGTGTTATTAAACCTTTCTATATTCATGGAAACAAAAGGAGACCAAGTTACAGGTCAGATCTCTGGAGAGGCAACCCCCGCTCATAGTCAGAATGCTTGTTTTTGTGGGCATTTTTGTGCTATAAAACCACCTGTAATTTTATAAATGTAAGGTAGAACTGTCATGCCATACTGTGGAACATTCCAGGCAGAGCAATGACATCTCCATAGAAACGTTTATAAACTACAGTCTGACCCACTGAGGGTTTCCAGGCGTTTGTGAATCCCATATGAGATGCCTGTGTGAAAGCCCAGAGCACACGAGCTATTGCCTCTGTTCTCCATTTTGAACTCTGCATTTGTTTTATTTGCACGATGCGTGAATTTAAATGAGGCCTGACATTACTGAGATGGTTTATTTATCCTCGGACGGCCGCGCAAACGACAAACATTCTTTAAAATTGTGTCCGAGTCAAAGTTACGATGGGCCTGTGCGAACGCTATTTTTAATTGTCAGAAGGGGTCGCGCATCCCAAGCAGCAAGCGTCCATCCATAGCCCCCCCGCTCCCCTCTTCCCGGTCCCTCCTCCTCCTCGCTCTTGTAAACGACCTCAGAGGACTCGAGAGGCGACGGCGCGCGCTGATTGGGCACGTCTGGCAGAGGGAGGAGGGCGCGCAGCGGAGCGACGGCCACGAATTCCTCCGCGCTCCTCAAATTTCTTGAAATCACCGACCCCCTGCTCCTCGGCCGAAGCTTCCTCCCGATAAACATCCTCCGCAGTCCAAAGGGTAAAGGTAACTACACTAGATTCCCGGTGTTTATTACGAAAACCATCATATTTCATCGTTTTGGTCTGTTTTTCTCCCTCGGTGATAACGGTACTTTCTCTTTTCCATCCAGATGTTGCGAAGTGTCGCCGTGCTCTTTCTGCTCTCCGTAGCCCTCACCAACGCGGAGGTAAGTTTCAAACTGTGCACTTATTACAATTAACACACATTTATAGCCTAGTTAAAGTTGATTGTAGACAAACCACTTTCTTTGTTATTGTTAAAACGAAGTCATACGCGCCGATGGATAGATGTATAAATCAGTGCAGTTACGCTTTGGATTGTTTTTTGTTTGTCTGTTGTTGTTGTTTTTAGCTCAGTAACCTGTTGTTTAGCTATAGATTTTCTTTTAAAAACACACCTATAGGCTGTTATTTGTGTGGATTTCATTGCCTTTGTTATTTTTTTTTCTTATTATGCTTGCCCCACACAGAAATATGCAGTTTATAGTATTTTTAACTGCGCCACTAAACAGCCTGTGTTATCAGATTGGATAAACAATCTGTTAAAGTTATTTAATTTGCCTCACTGTAAAAAAGCTTGGTTTACACATTGACAGCTGTAATAAGAGGTCAGAAAGGCACAGCAGCTTTGTGTCCTTGAAGCTTTTGGACTCTCATCAAATTGAAGGGTGTTTTGGTTTTGTTCTGGCTCTTGGTGCCTGCTGTAGTGTTTGGGTGGTCAGTGTTGGTCAGTGTTGGTCAGTCATGGTGCATGTTTGCTTGAGCTGTGAGAAAAGTCACCTCAGACCTGTCACGGCGCAGGGCTAAGTGGGCGTCCTCTGAGCAAACAGCACTGTGTGCTCTTAAATTAGTCTGTTCTAATGGAAAGCACAGGTACTGAACATGGAAAGCTCTTTATTTTAGTTCAGCTGTCTGCCTGCTAACCTTCCTTTCAGTTAGATGCAGGATGAACATCTGTTTTTCTATTAATACTTTCCTGTGCACCAAGAGCCTTGTCACTGAACAGATTTAAACCAGTATTCACAGTCAGAAAGAGTGTGTGAGGCCTGGTTAAACTGGCCATTTCAGTGTTTGTGAAAGATTTTAATGAGTTTGTCTTTTCTTGGAAGGGACCATCATTTGTTTGACCAACTGCTTGGTGCCCTCTTGGTAAGCGCCGAGGCACCAGCTGGTGGCTGAAGTCCTTAACCTCAGCAGACACAGCTGTTGAACACCTGGCCCTGTGTCAGCTCTGCTCACTGCTTCACCAGCTGGACCAAGCTCATTTTTTAACATTAGCTGAAGTCTAATTAGAGATCTCATCACTATGGCAACAAACAACATATCATGTGATCATGTATGATTCACAAATTTTCACAAATTTTCTCTTGAATGCTGCTCAGTGCTCAAAGACACTTTCCCCCACCAACACTAACACCCATATTGTTATGTTTGTTTCTTTGTTGTTGCTGCAGAACTTTGAATTTCCTTAGTGATCAATGAAGTATCTATCTATCTATCTATCTATCTATCTATTAATCAGCTTTGTTAATAGTTAATTGTATTTAGCCATTTGTAATACAGTGTTAACAGAAGAAGCAGATGACATTAGTTACTGTAGCTATTCAAGGCAATATAAAGATACTCACTGTAACATGAATCATGATAAAATCAAAATCATAATATGGCGCCAAGATCTTTTTTTTTTTTTTTTTGTCTATTTATCAACCCAATAGTTCAGGCATTGCAAACACAACATTTGTTGTCTTATCATTACCCCGACAGGGCCACTCACACATAGCCCCATGCTAAACTACCAGTAGTGATACCACCTTAGGTTGGCTGTAAAAACAAAGTCATTGTGTCTTTATTGCATTCACACTGCAGTGATCTGTTAGGTAATTATGTTAGATAAAGACAGAGCATGATGCAGAGTCTGGAGCTTAAGTTAATGGGGAGGCATTAGAAAAAGCTGCTATTCTCCAAAGGTAATTACCCTGATAATATACGGCCTGTTGGCTGTCCATGGGAAGGGCCTGAACTGGCATACCAAGATGAGGTCAACAAGTTAGAGCAAAGGGCCCTGGATGTGCTCAATCTAGTGTGTGTTAAAGGCCTGTCATGATAAATACTAGTGACTTATCTTTCAATACATGAAAGTTGGAACAGGACTATTTAGGGATCAGTATTTATGGTGGATACTTTTTTCATGCACTAGTGGAAAATGTTGGTGCTGTTCATCTGTATTTACTTCAATAATATATCGTACTTCAAAATTTGTTATTGTGAGAGGCCTAGTGTGTGTCTGTGTGTGTGTGTTAGGTGGATTGTGTTATAAGAGTGAATATAAAGTGTGCATATGTATATTACTGTAGCAGGCTGTAACTATAAAGGAATCATTGTTATATGTTTTGTCTGTGTTAGAAAAACTGTAATTTCTACCAGATGATTTCGATGACTGAATCTGGAAGGAATGAGGTCGAGCGATTTTGTTAGTAACGAACAACAAACATTGCACGAGAAGCTGAAGCCATGGATTGCTAAAAATGAAAAGCAATTATCTAGGGTAAAGGCTCATTTATAATTGATATTTTAGTCGCATACGGATTCGCATAGAGACTTCTGACCGTCCTCTGCGTTGTTCTGTTCGTCATTTGGTCAGTGTCCTCAGAACATGTGGAATCTTGGCAAAGGAGTGGTACATGAGCTAACCGCTGGGGACAGTAGTGAACATAGCTCGCATAGTTTTTTAGAAAATGACTAGAACAAACTGCAAAATAAATAAATGTCTCCCTCACCTAATTTTTCTTGGCGCTTTTCCAAGAGATCATAGAACTATAATAAAATCTGGGAGATGAATCCAAGATGGCAGTGGCCTGTGCTCATTGGTGCATGGGCCCAAAAAAAGGTTCACTTCCACATTTTCTTCCTCAATAGGGGCTAGCGCTTCCCACCCGTGTGACGTCTGTAACATACATGGTGTGGAGCGTCTGGACCGACCAAAGCGAGAGCTGCTAGAGCGGAGTCAGTGCAGGCTCAGAGTCTTACAAAGTTAACTTATAGGAGTTTTGAGGATTTCAAAATTTTAAAAAGTTATGTTGTGAAAAAAATTGTGTTGTGTAGAAAATAATCCCTATCTGACCTTTGTTAAAGTTGTGGACGCCCTGTCAGCCAAACACGGGTAGTTTGAATCCCCAAAAAATACATTGTGCTTCTGTGGGAGGATTCTTTCTGGGCCCAAACTCCCGGGAGCTGCAGTGCCAGGAGCGGCCACTAGTTGGTCTCAAGCCAGGACAGAGGAGGAGTGCCTTATCCAGTTTTTTATTATAGATCCATGGTGCCTCCGTGTTTGTCTATTTGTTGCTCTATTTCATCTGTTTAGGTAAATTCTCAAACTGATATTTAGCGCCCTCTGGTCTTTATTTAAGAGAACTCTTGAAACGCATGATGACGGCTTGCATGATAGCAAAAATTAGAACAATAGGATACTTTACTCCTATCTTATTCATGTTAATTTGCATATTGTGTAAAGTTTTGAGAAGGCACACAAGGATATCTGTGTTTAAATTGGGGAGTAGATAGCAGTTGTTTGAAACTGTCTGTGTAAAGAGTTCGAGGTAAGATAAGCCATCAGATCCCAGTCTCTTTGTTTGAGTGTTTGGGTTTGTAGGCTATGAGATAAATGAAATGATGATTTACACAGGGATGAGGAAACTATGGCCCCAGGGACCAAATGCATCTCTCAAGCCAATTTTTGTTGGCCCTCAGGCTTCCTGCTGAATTGGCCAAAATGACTAGAAGTAGTTTTTTTTTTGCTAATTTTGGTGAGTTCTGTTATCTTAAAAGTGCACCGTGTAAATTTTCTGGTGGAGTATCTTCATGGAGACTAAACCAGGCCAAGTTCTGTGGAGAGGTGACTTCACTCACAGTCAGAAAGCCTTTTGAATGTTTTTCTCTGGTATTTTTGAGCTATAAAAAAACACCTGTAGTTGAATAAATGTAAAGTAGAGCTGAAAAAGACCATTACCAAAACCAGAAAAGTTACACCTTTAACTTTAATAACATACATTCTGATGTGATATAGACTAAGATAAGCCTTATTAAAGGGGTGGTGACTCAAACAAACATGTCAATGCAACATTTTGAATAGTTCCCTACAGTCAGTGGCCCTTCTCTCAAGTTACAATATGAAGATAGTTTGGACTCCCTTGTTCTAAAGCAGCAGGGTTTATTATTGTACTTCTGGGATGATGAAGTTAGCCCACACTGACCGGGTAAATGACACCAGGATTACTTGGGTTTTTACACTGAAAATATACAGACTCAGGAAATTGACTTCTTTTGACTGATTTTAGAGCAGCCAATCAGAGAACTCATTGCTAACTGAAGAAAAGTTTGCAAGTTGAACCAATAATTTCTACTCTACTACAGATATTTATTTTGTACATACCTTTAAAGTAGCTCTTCTTTTTAAATAGCAATTACAGTATTTTAAAAAGTTATGAAGCGCAGAGTTTTCCTTTAATAGAGTCAACTATAGTTTTCCCCCCATTATCTTAATTTTGCCCCCATAGTCTAAAAACATGCTGAGCAGTATGGCAGAAATTACACTTAAAGGTCCAGTATTATGCAAAATGGACTCTTAGTGAATTTTAAGTAATCGTTTATTGTTAATCCTTTACTCTTCCACCTTGTGACGTCATGAAGCGGTAGTTGTCAAGTTAACAGCTTACCTTTTACCTTTAGTTCAGTAGAGATTAGCAATTCTAGGGCTGATATTATCCAAGTGATTTTAGTGCAAGTGTGTGGAGCATAAACACACAAGAGGAACTGAGTATTTTCAGTCTGAGTGAAGAACTGAGCCGAAATATGCAGCATCTGTGTGTTAAACATGTGTGAATGAAACTAAATCAACTCCAGATATGTTTGTGATGTGGAAACAACATTATAACACAGATCAGAAAATAGCATAATGTGGGCCCTTTAGTGGTTTAATTCAAGTTATCCGAGGCTGTGAGTAAGACCCGTCCTGCCAGCTCGTTCCAGCATGTTGCCATGTCGATGCCCGCTCGGTGTGATTCAAGGTTGGCTATAAATACCTACCCAGGTGGAGAGAACATGAGAGGCCACTGTGTCCTCTGTCTGTACCAGCCTGGTCTAATTACTGTGGCTCAACATCCCAGCGTCA